CTTCCCTGCAAATTTTGCGCAACTTTGTGACGTTTATGTGGGCTTTAATTACGTAGCTACCCCCGAGCTTTCGGGTATTTGCAAATACTCGAAAGCTACGATTTTTTTTTTTTTTACATGAATTGGCATTGAGCTATAGACAGTTGGTCAGAACTGTAGATGCAGAGTGAATATTAAAAATTTGGTTCCTTTTGTTCATCTGTGCTAAAAGATCGAGCCTTGTGGTAGACCTTTGTGTATCATATATCTTTCGGATTTCACCAAGTATAATATTTGAACACTTTTTTTGCCTCTTTATTCCTTTTCAGATGATCAAGCTACACAATTGGGTGTGAAGAGTTTAATATGACCTTACCTGTAATGTACCGGTGAGTAGCTTCTAAAGAACACTTGTGTTTTTCCCGGCACCAAACTCTGCATTGCCCATACTCTCAACGTGTTCATTGATCTTTTGAAAGCTTCCATTACATCCATCGACATGTTCACGTTTTCCCCTTCCTGAAAATAATAACCCCTGGTCGACCGAGGGAGAAAAAAGAAAGAAAGGGAAAACCGTTAACCATACATATCTATTTTCAAAACCGAGCAAATTACACGAACATACCTCTGTTCTTAATTTTTAAATTGTGTTTCGAATTTGCTTAAGGCTCTGCTTGGTAACCAAATAAGCTGACTTATAGCTTATTTGGTTTGCTTATAAGCTTCCGGTATTCAAATAAGTTTAATTTAGGTAGCTTTTCAAATAAGCTCGTTGAAATTTTTAATTCAGCTAGCTTATAGCTAATTTTACCAAACACTTTTATCATATAAGCTAGCTTTTTCAACTATAAGTAATAAGTTATAAGCTAAAAATTAACTTATCAGCTATCAGTTAGGTTTACCAAGCATAACCTAATTATCATTGGATCATTTATGAATGCACGTACGATTTTATCGTCTTGTCTTGGTTCCACCAATGGCCTGCGCTGAACACCAAAACATCGGCCCCGACCCAATTGGCTGAGTACCAATGCAGCCTATCGACCCTAATGACTCCATACACCTCTTTGGACACGTTTTTCGGAGGTCGATCGATTATCACGAGGTAAGGCACTCTGTAGTATTGTACCGTGAGATTGTAATCTCGAAATTTGATCGAGAGGAAGCCTTTGTGCTTGGTGATCGGGTTCCCGTGCTCTTCGTATATTGAGGTCCGGTTTGCGACC